TTGGGTATCCGCGGTCGCCCACTGGAGCAAGTGGTCGACCTCCATAGACTACGTTGGTTGGGACATGTGTTACGCATGTCACCAGATAGGTTATCACAGGTTACCAGGAAACTGGTTCACTTAGGTCCTGTTAGGCTCCCTGGCTGGGGACCTCGGGATGATCGTAACCGATGGCTAGAGACACTGAGTGATATTGCTGGGTGTCGCAACCAGTGCATCTTCTCAATCTCTTTGCAACTATAGACGACTGAACGTCCCAATTTTTTTCGACTCCAATTTCAAATTTCCGTTCTTCCTCCTATTCTTCATCCAAAAGACAGCAAACCAAACCGGCGAACGAATATGCGTGTTTAATGGTTGTTCAAACTGAACTGAACTGTGGTTCTGTCAGGAAATTCGAATTCTACAACCTAAGAAATACGTATGAACTGTAGTTTCTAGATAACTTTCGTGCAGTTCCTCACTCATTGACTTGCACGTTAGTATTTTAATTTCGTCAAGATCAAATTAAATTGTGTTATAGTGCTAAGTAAGTAAGCGATAAACTACTTTGCAGTTGACACTAGCATGTCACAGGTTAGTTGACATGAAAAGAACGTACCATTCGGGCCCGTGATGAACTGTTCGGTTTCGAGCGCCGCTTATCGAAGCAAGTGGATAGGCCAAGTGGAAGTGTGGTGAAACTCGGACGGCCACGACCAGTCGCCAAAGACATGAACATTGAGTTGGCGGATTTCAAATCCACTGAGGCAGAATCCGAACTCACCGCAACGCCATCGGGTGTTTTCGCTGAGCTTATCTGCAAACCCACGCCGGGACGCATTAGGGGAGCGTACAAATGGGTCAGTCCATTGTAAGCCAGGGTTACAGCCGATGAAAGTCGGGGAGAGGAAACTTCCAAATCGAACGGATCCACCAATACCTCCAGACGAGATAACAGTTCTTTTGCTTTCATTTGAACTTCCCGCTCTAATTGAATGTTCCTCTGTGAACCATTCACATCCTCCGTAGAAGCAAATGCAACAAAGGGAAACCAGAGGCGTTTTAAAACAGATGAAGTGTAGCAATAAATACAGACAAAAAATATTACGAACAGGCCTTGGATGTGCTTTCTGGAGCCCCTATATTTTCTATAATAGTTATGAATCCGTTCAAGAAACAGGATTCTAACTTTACAATTACAAGCGAAAGAAAACAATTATGAGACTGTAAAACTAAAGAGAACGAACGGTGGCTCAATATACATGACCTTTCAACTTCAGTGAAATGTCACATCTATGTCAAAGATGTTCCACTCCGTACACGGTTCGAGCTCTAGAAATGGGTGTGGTCAAGCTAAGACCTGGAGTGAGGGTATGAAAACCTTAACCAGAAGTCTGGGTCACATAGGTCTCGTTAGGCTCCCTAGATAGGGACCTCGGGATGAGCATACCCGATGGTTGAGACACTGAGTGATATAGCTGGGTGTCGTAAACAGTGGTGTTCGTGCATCTTGTCAATTTCTCTGCAAAATAAGTGCAATGAATTCCTAAATTTTCTCTTCGATCCTACTTTAAACCTTTTCTTTCTCTGTATGTTCATCCAGATCGGCAGCCAAAACCGGCGCATGGATAGTGCATGGTTAATGGTTGTAGAAACTGAACTGAACTTTGCGCGTCTTCCATATTTTCGAACACACAAAAGATGCTGGCAGCGTACTCTTAATCCTACAGCCTATCTCCAGTTACCCGTTCAGAACCAACGATTTGGAGAGCGCCTAGTGCGTTCCGAAAATCATCACTTTAAAAGCCTCAGTATGATCGGGGATGGGTATGATTCCAAAGTAATTAAGAAGATGCATACGAAACCCAAACACCTTCTTGGTTGTGGTAGTGGTCACCAGCTCGATTGGGTACTTTGGACATTTGCTCTGTCCAAAAGATGTATCATTAGATGAAATGGACATCGTCCCCCAATGATCTGCGGTTTTCACACCCCGCCCTTTCGCCTAGTGGGTTAGGCTTTGGTTAGCCGAAGGCTCCGATTGCGAATTCCCCAAGAAAACTTAGGTACGTTGGCCTGGGTAACCTAGCACTATTCCGCCCACAAAGAAATCATGGAACTTTCTCTTTATAAAGATTATTGTACTAGGATTTGTTTGGCACAGTGCGGACTCGGACGTGTATGGCGAACGAGCTGGATATTTCGTTACAGACCCCGACTCGATCAAGCCTGTGTGAGTAAAGTGACCTCGGTAAGTTAACATACTTCTGGGGCAATGATAACCCCCGAGCGTTACTGAATAATCTACAGCACCAACCTCAGTTAACTTGGTAAAAAACGAACCGAAATAATCGAAGAGCAAAAAGAAAGAAGTGCACACCAGACACAGAGAAAACAATGTCAGTATGCTGCAACACTGTGAAATAAAAAATATGAAGGTAGAACGACGTTTAGTACCGATTTCGTGCCACCTTGTCCGAGAGTAGAGGGCCAAACTAGCAGCTTGACAAGGAATTGTGTATCGAAGATGAGTTGTAATGCTCGAGGTGATACAATTCCGCCCGGAATTGCAGATGTGAGTAGCGTTGAAGTGCCGTCAATATTAGGCGATTCGCTATGTGATACCTTGGATAAACGATCAGCGATGTGTGCATACTCCGAAAGAAAGGCATCACATAGAGTCAAACAAAACGTTCGGCATGATTCCGGTCTGTGGGTGAGACAGAATTACAAGAGAACGAAAATGCAGAAAGAGCAACAATCCTTTTTAAAACCAACAACGAACAAAAGGTAAAGCATAATTTACTTTAGCTTGTGAAATGATAGATTGAATTGTAATAATATAATTCCAATACCAACAACGGTTGGCAAAGCAAAATCAGAGAAAGACTGGATAAGACATACAAGATACGGAACCCGGCAGGACACGAGCATGCCCATTTAATTCCTTTAAATGCAAAATTGTATGAGAACTAAATCAGTGTCTACAGAATGGACCAATACTCAACATTTATAATAACAGACAAAGATTGAAATTGTGTTGAATCAGAATGCTAGTTGGCTGTGGGTTGCAAGCTTCAGTTACTCGCTCAAAGCTGATTAACATGACTAGCTTGGTGCTTATGGGAAGGCTTACCTCATCTGCCACGAAGAAGATTGTATAAAACATGCCATAACTACTCTCTGTAACATCCCGGACTGAAACAGTAATTCTGATTGAAGAAAATATAAAAAAATACTAAATGCATTTAGAAGTTGCCGATTTCAATTTAGGAACGCTGTAGAAACTTGTCAGGTTTTGATTAAATTACTGTTCCAAGATCTAAACAACTGATTACCAATTTACGTTCTTCCCATCGGCTTCTTATGCACATGGAAATGCATGGTTAATAGTTGAGAAAAATGAGACTGCACCTTGGTGAGCATCCGAAATGCATAAAAAAATTAATCCTAAAACAACCAGCTATTATAAAAGTGAGGCAGCTACTCGAAAACCGCAAAAGGATGAACACTGATTGATGATACGCAATGTTCTTTAAAATTGTAAAAGTAATCGGAGTCCAGCATTTATTCAGAACTTACTTCAGAGTTGTGTGCACCAAAAGACGCACCATCATATGTACAACATCAAGCAACGTGCGATGTAGAGGAAGACTTATCTGGCAAGGAACCCGAAGGATGGCAACTGCATCATGATCAGGGGGTCCCTCATCAACATCGCCTGTTTGGTTGGTATCGGATTGCAAACGAACCTCATCGAAAGGCTGTAAATGAACACGTGTTGTTCAATGAACGAAATTTGAAGCCTTGAGGGATTTATTACAATACAGAAAATGAGTGAACACATTGGAGTTGAAACTTCTTCGCAATGACGAACTGCAATATTTACTATACAGACGCAATGGAGGAGAAAACTTGAAAACCATTATTCAATCTGATAACCTGTTCGGAATAGGATAGTTTCTATATGCATAAATATATATATCACCGATTTGCGTGCCAGTGTGGTAAGCAGCCAAAAAGACACCAAGAACCGTATTTTACCGGAAGGAAGAAAATTCTAACTGTCTATTGCGGTCAACAAAGATTACCAACTCGTGATACAATAAACAAGTCAGAGGCTTTAGTCAGATACATGAATAGGTTAATACCGGGACGACGTTGAATTTAATCACTGGTTATACACAAGTGCTCGGGACACATACCATTTTAACAGGCAATATAATGATACCCGCAAACAAAGAAACGAAGGAGTGCCTCAGATCTTACTATGATCAATCACACATTTTTATGCAACGGGTTAAGTTGTTATTTTTGGCAGGACATTAACCCAGCAGTACAATATCTTGAGGATAATCCAGATGAGACA